TTTGGATTTTCAGGTATTGCTTTTATGTCTTTGCATTATAGGATTATATGCAACTTGAAGCTAAACATCACGTTCAGTTCAATATAGAAAGCGGAACTTCGATGGAACAAAAATGCTATACAGCTCAAGGAACGCAGGTTCTTAACTCATTTGGCATTTCAAGAAGGAGTAAATCATAACTTTTTTGAGAGCGACGGAATGGAAACAGAATCAATTTCTGTGCAGTGTTCGCCAACAGTGAGCACATCTCATACGCAATACACGTGCTCATGTATGACAGATGAATGCATTCAAACAGAGTTTGCTAAGGCAAATAAGAGCAGTCAGGTATATTCAAAGTGCCTCTTGAAGCTGTAAAGCGCGTTAGTTATTTGGTGATTTAACTTAATTTCGAAGAGAAAGAGCTTACCAAAAGTGACCATTATAGTGATTGTATGAGGGGGCAAATCCATTATATGAAAACGCACAGTTACGCTTTTTACCGCAGATCACCTTTTGCAGCAGCTTTTCTGCTGGAGGGATAGCGCTCCGCAGTGTATGCGTCTGCGATACAAATTCGTTTGAAATAGCAGTTTTGGAGTGTACTTATTCGAAAAGACTTAGGAAGGGTAAAGTTGATTGGATACAGTTCCTCTATTCTTTTGATTCGTCAGGAGTGTGACATTGTCGAGACAAACGATACATTCATGCAGACGATGTCAAATACCAAGAAAGCAAGCGTCCAGGCTATAGAATCTGAGATCGATGCAGCAATGGGCGCAGGACCATACGGTGTCGCTAATGAGAAGGAGACAGCGCCATTTTGGAGCGATTTTGATCCTGCACTTTTTAAAGAACTCGTCGCCGAAGTTTCGCAGCAAACTTCGCCCGTGAATATGAATGACGAAGAGTCACAATTTGTGTTGAATGTCGAATTGAAAGAGGTTCAGACGTCGGACTTGGATTCTGTAATAGAAGTAAGTGAGAAATGCTGTACAGCAACAATAAAGGAGAACAACGGAGTGCAAGCTACTGCCGAATTTCGAGAAGTTGCCAGTGGTCAGTTGGATAATGAAAGTTGGATAAAGGTATATATGATTACGTCTGGCATCCACAGCAATGCAGAGCTTACGCACCACTGTCTCTCTTGTGTCTTTGCACTTTGCATGCACATTCTTCACTTCTGCATTGTCTCTCAAAACCAATGTCACTTATTGGTTTTGTTCCTCGCACAACACTTCCTACCTTTTTCCACGACATACAAATAGTGTCGTTATATCATAGGTTATATCTTAGATTTACATCAACGAATTAGATGAGGAAAGAAGATCGCGAATGTTAGATGTTGGGGTTCAGACTGGTGTGCTCGCTCGAGTGCAGCACTTGTACACTATCCAAGATCTGGAAGCTGATGTGGAGGTTATTTATACAGCGTTGAGAGACTGTTAATTTCATTCAAAAAACCAATTCTAGGCCTCTATCGGTCAATCACAAGGCGTCCATCCCATCCCCTTGGAGGAAATCATTGGAGGTGGTGTTAAAAAAAGGTATTATAATTTGGACCTTGATCCAAACTTTGCATAAATCTCCCACTGCTAATCTGAATTTTGTTGATGACTTCTTATTCATCTCGTCCACTTTCAAGAGTGCCGGAACGACGGTCTAGCGTTGCACAGCGTCTGTCCTTTTCCGAGACCTCAATGTTAGACCGTTTGCGCTCCGTTTATGAGTCAGGAAATGTGAAAGATTTTCCCTCTGCTAAAGGGAAGTAAGCAATTCTAATTTTTTGTTTGTAAGGTGACCTTTTTTTATTAAGAGTTTCCAGGCCATCACCAAGTAATCGCGCACATGCTGATGGGAATTCAAGGGTAGGTGACGGTGATTGACACTTTAGAAAATTTCTTGTACTGACCAGGTTAAGGTAAAGTTATCTCTGCTGAAAACAACATT